TCTCACACTAGCACTTAACCATAAAAACTTTACCTGTCTTTGTCCTATAACCCATATTTTTCAAATTAGCAATTTTCTTCACCACCTACAAAGCTTTACTGCTATGCCTATAAATACATAGCATGCCTATGTATGCCTCCCATGCCTATAAAAACAACTGACATATATCCTGTCATTTTAGTATATGAGAAGAACCAGGAGTTTAAAAAATGCTAGATACATGAACAATCCAGCATCAGAGAAACCAAACACAAACACTTCATAAACATGAAAAGCAAAACTAACCTTAGCTTCCTTTTCCCTTTTCCTCCCACTTGAGGGTCCTTCACCATTTTTAATTTTTTCACTCTTTTTCACAGTCTCACATTCTTGTCGCTTTCCAGAAGGTACAACACCAAAGAATTTCCGGATATCCTAGTAAAAGGGAAAAGAGATTTATAAGTTTTTAAATACAGACAGCTCTTCACACTACAAAATAGTAACGTACTGAAGTTACCTTCTCAGCAGCTCCATTACATTGACCGATTTTGGAATTTTGTTTACAGTTCAGCAAACAAAGCCCAAATAGTTAAAAGTAGCTACTCAGACACCCACACCACCTGATTCTAGTCTTTGAATCATGAAAAAAATTTATTTCTTCTTTAGCTGGGCATCTTCACCAATACATACCGCAAGACAAACTTCCAGCAGCAATGAAATAGTGACTTAAGACAGATGTGTAATTACAATTTTTTCTGATTAATTATCACAAACCTAAACCATACTATTTCTATAGTTAAAATAATTAACACAGCTAAGTAGTGTCCCATGTAAAAAGAAAGAAAAGGACCAGGAGCTTGACACACTGAAGTAATGGCACATACTGCATTCTCCACTTTCTCATAAGTTTTTAAGACAGTAACTCACACCTCACTAAAAAACTAGCCAGCAAGAAACTTAGAAAATTTAAATAAAGAAAAATAACACCTTGATCTATTTTGTTACTTTATTTTAGTATCTGACCACAATACAGCCATAAAAAGCTTTCTAAGCATATAAAATCAGCAGCTGGAGCTCAAACTTCAGACAACTTTATCAAACAAAATCACATCAGACTACTCTTATAAAAATCTAGCAATCCAGCTTTTCTAAAAGAAATTGAGGGAAGAGGTACCTGGTTGGTATCACTACCTCCAGGGTCAGCAGCCATTTTAGAGAAAGGCAGCACCTTCTTTCTTGCCTAAATCACAGACAGCAGGTAGAGGGTGGGGCTCAGGACTCCCCTGGACACAGCTGGGAGCTATTCCCTAACATGGAGTTCAGCTGGCACTTCCTTACTATTACAGGGAACCACAAGGAAAGTAGCACACTTAGGAAACTGGCATCAAATCTGATTGATAATAAGGGGTCTTTGAGGCTCATTTTCTAACAATCAACTCCTGTCAGTTTGGACTTAGGGCTTAAAATCAATGAAACATGTACTTCGAAAGCATAAACAAAAGATGGGACATGCATTGATTCATTCAGTGCACTTAAAACAATTTTCTACATGTTTCCTGTAAATATTTAAGCTCTTAGTGTTTTAACTGCATGTATTAATATGGATTCAACAAATGGTAGATTGAAAATCATTCTTACTCAATGTGACTTCACACTTCTCCATCCATGGAATTCAAGCCTTGAAGCACAGATTTTCAATGCTCTACTATTTAACATATATTCCTACAAGATAAATGCAGCACTACATAAATCTGAAATTTTGACAGCCAGTATCTATAGCTAATAGGTCTGAAGAGAACATCTATTTAAAAAGTCTCCAAATCGATATTTGGACTTAATTACTCAATTATACTCATTATTACTGACTTCCTTTTAGGCTTAAGGTAACATAGGCAAGAGAAAAAGCAGATATCATTAGATCTTTTATGTAGCAAAATAATTTAAATACTTAATACAACACTGCAAAATAAAGTGACTTTAAAGTTCTCCTTTTTTTTAATAGTTGTTACTTTAAAGCTTAAAATATTTGAGAATTTAGTTTTAGAATAACAGTATGGCTCTATTCATTCTACTGTTTTCACTAAAAACTGTTAACTGAGGTGCTCTGCAAATCTACCTTGTTCTGCCAACCTCTGTGCTACCTGGAAATTATTGCATGAGGGAACATGAATACATCCCAAAATTACAGTCATCAAACTAGTACACCTTAAACGTGGTAGCAGGAAATATGTATTTCATTAGCTAGCCCAGCTTAAAACCATGTCTGCTTTAATGTATTTATAAAGCTTTTCAGTAGGCTTCCCCAAAGGCTTTTCTGCAAGATTTATTAATCACTGCTTTTCTACTAACTTGATCTTGAGTTTGGATTTCAGTTCTGGAATCAGCTGTAAAGTGTACATAATTCTGGCAGAAGCTTTGCAGAACCTTTTGGTGTTTTGAGAACAGGTAACAATATTAGAATTCTTTAAGATTTATACAAGGTTTATGAAATGAAAACTTAAAATACACAGCCCTAAGGTACAAAGATTGACTTCTATCCACAGCCTCTTCAATATTTTGCTATAAATTCACCAATCTTCTTCAGTTATCCTGCTCCTCAGAGGAAAAGTTTACCTTGATGACATAACACAGTGAACAGAGAATTGCTTGGGAGAAAAACATGTCTCAGGGCCAACAACAAAGTTACCTTTCAGTGAAGGTTTTATCCGGGAATCATTAAACAGATTTTTCATGCTTTTTATAAAGGCATGCCAGACAAATTATTAATTCATTGCATAACTAATTGCAGAAATCAAGCCACATAAGTATCTATCATAGCAACTTAGATTCCAGACAGGACCACTTTTCACCATCCTGGGCTTATCTATTTAACATACTCTGACTAACCTTCCTATTGGTATGCCATCCATACATATATAGTACCAGCAGCTGGAAAATCTGCATGTTTAGCTTTTACCTATCCTTGTTCCAATGAGGAAAGGCTGCAGCTGTCAAGTTTCCTTCCAGGACATACCCCCAAAACTCACAGCAATGTGCCCTGTGTATCCTGGAGATATTAACCAGCATGGCTGTTCCCTTGCCCAAAAGGCTAAAATTAAAATAGGCAATTTTTGGTGTTTTGGCTCCCCAGGGCTGCTTCAGCACAGCACCAGCAAGGAATAACTTTGAGCAGCTCCATCTGGTAGGAGCTGTAACTAAGAATTCTGATCACTCTCAGTCAGGTGATTGATGCCTAGCATCTGAAAAGCCTAAAAAGCTGCTCAGCTATCTCAGAGTTGTATGGCTCTGCCATCTAGTCCTTGCCTGCTCTGACTACTGCTTAAATCTTCCATCTCACACTGTAACAGAAGACCACAGTAATTAATCATGCCAGGCTGCAAGTTCTCTCTTGGAAGATTTGTATGTCTTTATTTTTTTACCGGGGAGAGTAACACAAACAGAAACTGAAACCAATTTGTTAGGTAGTACAAAGACTGGGAACTCCAGGAGTGTTTTTACAAGACTAGTGTTTAGTAAGGCAGAATATTTTCCAAAGTTACATCACATAATCCAGTCTGCACCTCAAAATACAAGATAGAAAACTGAACTTCACCAACCTAACTCAATGACTGTAGTAGAAAGTAATGCATCGTACTTCAGGTATTCTGTGTGTCTCAATGAGGGCCTTGCACCACAACAGTCATATTTCTTTCTACTCTGCCTATTTCAGTGCAAGTTTTGCTCCCATATCAGCTCTGACATTCAGCACCTCCAGAACAATTGCACTAACTAAAATCAGATTTATACTATCACTTCAGTGAAACCAGTAATACCTGCTTGGGTAACTACACCTAATGAACAGTTACTGACAGTGGTAACTGCAGCAGTTTTACAAACAGTATCACAGTTGTAAGTGATGCTCCTCCTCCAGCCATGAGTGTCACTCTCTGAAGGGGAAACTCAAGAAACCCCCACTCTTGGGCATTCACTCCCTCGGGTGTACCACTTTAGCTCGCTGTTTGGGAACTGGGACATGGCCACTAATCTGGGTGAAAAAATAAATCCCTTCTAATGCAAATCAGTTTGTTGTGTAACTCTTCACACATCAGCTCAGCACAATGAGAATATGCTGCAGAATCAAGCTAACAGGGCTACTTACACTTGGCACTACAGGAGAAAAGTTTGCAAGGGTGTGACATTGACTGCAATAAGCTCATGGCTGTCACTGCACAAGCAGAACAGGCTGCACCATTAGTAACTCACTGTGTTTCTGCCTCTATTGCCGCCACAGCTGCAGCAGAGATGGTTGAGTAACCACTTCAGCACTGAAAAGGGAATGGGATGAGGCAACTTTTACCCTCCCCAAAATGATGGCTGTTTTCGTCCCTTCTAAGACAGGCCCAGACACTGAGATGTGTGACGTTCAGAAGATCACACAGAGGAAGAATTTGTCCTGGGAAGGTGGGAAAGGAGGAAGCAAGCCTTCCAAGAAGGTCACTTTTCTATAAAGGTGTTAGCAGAGGCATGGGAGAGGCAGATCTCTTACATAAATTTGAAGTCATCAGCCAGCTCAAAACAAATGAAAATATCACAGTTCAATAGTGTCAGGAGTCTTAGTGCTGGCAGACTTCTGTCAGTACACTAGAAGACTCAGACTGTATCACCCACCATTGCAGAGCACCAGGCATAAACTATAAACAAGCTTAAACTCTTTGGATAGTCCAAAACTAGAGTTGCACCTTAACTGGCAAAATGACACCTGTAGTTAGGCCAGTAAAAGATGTGCACAGAATAAAAGCAAACTCATTTGGCCAGAAATGAAAAGGGGATACCATCCTATGGTCACTGCATACATGAGCGGAACTTTGGAAAGCATAGGAACACGTTTATGTTTATGCTTAAAATCTCTTTACATCCTATTGAGGGTTGCGTCGTTATCGATAAACTTTTAAGCTCTTTTTTTCCTCCCATCGAATTGTTTTTCGGCAAATACTGCGCACCCTCCAGCTCGTCATCAGAAACGCCTCGTGCATGTTCCCGCTGGGTTAAAGGAAGAAGTACCGCTCCGGCACAGCGCCTTCACCTCACCGCAGGTTCGCTCATCCGCATTCCTTCCCGGGACGAGCCGCGGCCCGCGCCCTACACCCCACCCGCTTTCGGGGAAAGCGAAACCGGGAGGGCTCAGCCACATCCCCCTCCGGGCACGGGCATTTCCCCGGCCGCGGGCCCGTGCTCCTGGCACGCGTGGGAAGCCCCGGCCGCAGCGGGCGGGGCGCGGCGGCCGCTCCGCCGCAGCCGCTCGGGCTCCGCGGGGGCTGCGCGCCCGGGGCCGCCCGCGGGGCTCGCTCAGCCCGCGCCGGGCCCCGACGGCGCCGCAGCCGCGCCCGGCCGGCGGGACCTGCGCGCCGCCCCCGCCCCGCACAGCCCCGGCCCGGCGGAGCCCCTCACCATGGCGGCGGCGGCGGCGCGCTCCCCGTGCCTAGCGGGACGCCGCCGGCTCCATGCTCCCGCCTTCGCGCCAACTCCCGCCGCCCGGCGCGCCGCGCTGCCGTCACGGCCGCGCCGGGCGGGGCTGCGGGCCGGCCGGGGCGTGCCCCGGGCCGGGCTCATGGCAGCGGCGCCCGCCCGGGAGCCGGCCCGCTCGGGTGCGGCCGCTCCGTGAGGGGTTTAACCGCTGCCGCGGGGCTCCGGCCCGTGCCGGCGGGAACGGCAGCGCTGCAGCAGCAGAGCGGGAGAGCCGCGAGCGCTCGGGCGCGTCCGGCAGAGCGGGCGAGCCGACAGCCGAGCTGCTGGGTGAAAGCAGACGGGGAAGCAGTGCCAGGCCGCCATGGCTCCCGTCTGTGTTGGGCACTGAGGCACACGCAGCTCCCAAAGCAGGCGGGCAGCCAGCCCCGGGTCCGCGCGGCTGGAAGGCATTTCCTGCTCGTAAACTGGTGATAAACGTGTGATAGTCCCCAGCTTCCTGCCCGTCCGAGCGTCTGGTTCCTCTAATGGTACTTTCTCCCATGCGCCAAGGCTGGGGAGAGCTCAGGAGTCCGACAGAAACCAGGGAATTAATTAGCGTTGTGATTCTGCTACTGACTGCTTAATTTTCTAAGTTATTTCTAATGAAATAGTGTGTATTTTCTTCCACTAAGCACACTGAACGCTGGAAGGGGATAAATTTTTTCAAGCCAAATAAAAACTACTCCACTCTAAAATATTGTATATTGTTTAGATTCTGTCAACCTACTGAATCGCTAATTATTGTTGGACTTGGAGAAAAATGGGAAGACAAACTGAATTTGTGACGTTACAAATACTGCCGGTGATTTGGGAGACCCTTCATCGAAGAAAAAAATAAATCAACCAGAGTACAAGCTCAATGGGTAGTTGTATTTGTATGTATATAATTGCAGTATAAGTACTGCAATCCCTAATGCTGTCGCTTGTGTTCTCTCTGTGTTCACTGCCTGCTTGGTGGCATGGTCTCATTCCACACACTGTTAATGATACCTATTACCGTTCCTGTTAAATTCTTGAAATTGGACTTTAAGTAACTGTAAGGTCCTGTTTATACAGAAACTGCTACCTTTATTTTATGAACACACATGGCTAGGTGGGCCCGTGTATTTTCAGCAATAGTATATCTTGTGAATTTGGGTTTCTGCATAAGGAACACAGTGAGCAAGTAAACAGACCCACAGCACAGGCTGTGCTTTTTGGCCTGTTTTGCAAGTTACTCCATATGCACTCAACATAATGGCTACGCAAACAAAACCGATATTACTTTAGAAAAACATCTCCAGTGATAAATTTGTATTTACATATTTAATTCTTGTTATGTAACTTTGAAAGCTGTGCTGTTCCTCATACTAGAAGTAAAGATCAGTTTAAATGGCTGATATTTGTAAGAGCCAAACAGTTCAAATACTGCTAGAGGAGATATTGCGGGTGGTTATCTCTCTTTGTAGTTGATAAAGCTACCTAGAGTAACAGCCAGCAGAGGAGTATCTGTTTGTGGGTTCATGATGTCTTCATGTTTCTCGGAAGGCAAGAGTTCAACCCTGTGTGGAGACATCAGACTGAACAGCTGCAATGCCTACAATTCACTCCTGGCTATGGTGGGGAGACACAGGATACCTCAGTTCCTATGTACATGCCTGTGGAACCAGTGGAAGTGGGAAAAACTTTGCTCCACCACAGGAAAGAAAACTGAATACTCATTATTATGTATTATGATGTGCCTTGCAAGGTAAAATCAAGGCAAAATCCCATGAGTCTATAATTGATCATGGGTAGTGTTTTTTAAAAGGCCTATTACCCAACTAAAATTACAACTTTTTAAAAAGTAGCTAAAGTACAATTGATTTCTCCACTCCATTGGCAAGTGTGACAAATAATTTTTGCATTATTAGTATTGTTTTCTACCTTGCTGAAACCCACAGACTATTTGTTTGTTTTATATTGTTGGTTTTTTCCAAAATACGTTTTAAAAAGTGAGATATTAAATCTTGAACTTGAGATTTTTCCCCTATATAAGCCCAGACCTACTGTTAATATTATTAGTGCTTATTGAGAGAGGAGGTTTTTAATAAGAAAATTACATTTTCTTGTACTGAGAAATAAAAAATTGTCTGTTTTCTTTTTGTTAATATCTTGTTTATTCTATTTCCACATTTTTGTATATTGATACATTAATACTTTTTTGAATTGAAACCAATTTTTAAAGTGAAATTTCATGTTAAATTCTGGGGTTTTGTAGTAATAATGGACATTAAAATACTAATTTACTAGATTGTCATTTCTATTCTGGAGGAATCCCATAAGGAATATTTTCTTACTAGACTCTCTAGTAAAGAAAATAATTTTTTTCAGGCATTGTAGAAGCAGAAATTAGCATTTTGTTACAGATGGAAAATTCCAAAAATTCTTCATAAAGCTGTGGTGTAGCTTCTTTTACATTAGGCTTTCGATAGTATTCATCACAATTATGTGTCTTTAGAAAGACTTGATCCCATCTCAAACAGTTTTAGCTGTGTAAGGTAAAGATAAGGGATTTGCATGACGCTGTTGTGGGCGATTACATAAGTTGTGCTTCTTTGAGCACCTAAAACTAGTAGGTCTGAGCAGCTGATGTTAATGTAAACATTACACTTCTTCTGAGTGAACTTTGTCTTTAGGTCTTTTTCTTCATTTACATATCAGCGTCAACTGATACTCAGTCTAACATTCAAAACTCTATCCTTTCAACTAAGGTGTTCATCATTTCTGTAGATCAAACCCCAAGTTTTCAAGGCAAGCCCCAAAACATGGAGACTACATATTCAAGAGCCAAGTGAAAAATTGTTTTCTTAATTTGAATCATATGCCTTGGCAAAGGCAAAGAAGAAAAGGAAATCTGATAAGTAAGAATTGAACTGAATAATCATTAGGCTTCCTAACTCCTGAATCTGTATCAGCAAGTGCCCTGCAGATTGCAGCTTCTCCCAATCTTGATTCATTCTAAAACCAAGTTGATTAGGTGTGTGGACAGAGGCAGGAAATCCCACTGTGCAGCATCATATTGTATGTCCTCATACAGCACCAGGGTTGGAGCCTGGCCTGACTCTGCCACTTGAGCCAGTGGAATCATTAATTCTCTTCTCCTCCTTTCACACCCTCACTTCCTAACACCCCCTGATCACATCTCACTCTTCCATGCTGATTGCTTTCCAAATTAAGAACAGTCAAATTAACATTTGCTTTAATAGTCAAATTAAATTTGCTTTTCCAGATTAACAGTATTTCTTTTCCCCAAGTCTTTGCTCAGGTAATGAACTCCTTCCAAATTCAAGTCATTATACGATTTTCGTCACTTAAGCTGCTTCCTCTTTAAAACTTCATGAAGTTATATTACAGCCCAAACAGTTAAATATGACCAAGCAGTAAGAAACTGGATTCACAGAGGCTTGAGGCATTAAAACACTTTCAAACCATGATTACAGCATGCTCCCAATCATGTCAGTAATAAGGAAAGAAATACAGTTCATAACCTTATACAGACCAAGCACCTGAGAGCACCAGTCTCTGCTGCACCTTACACATCTCAGGCAGGTGCAACACGCTCTGCATCCTTGTGCCAGTGGTACTAACGCTGCTGCGTTTAGTGGGGAGAAGCCTGTTGTCTTTCCCTTGCCCACAGATTGCCCATGGGGTTACAGAGCTGTTGTGGGTACTTGGAGCTCAAGCATCTGGTAACGATGGCAATGACTAGCTGCTTTAGAAGTGTAAGACATCGGTAACGACTTGTATTTGGGTTTTCTTTTGTGAAGTAGGATACATAAAATCAGAGCTTTTAAATGTCAAAATAGAAAGATTATGTTAATGCAATAACTATCAAACAGCATTTTAAATGCTGTTCCGTAGAAAAAGAAAGAAACATGTCAGTATGTACTGTAAACCAACTTTGTACAGTCCCTGTCTGCTCCTCTTGTTCCCACGCTGCCTGTGTGTGGTAGGATCTTGGCTGAGAAATGTAGATCTGTTATTTCTGGTAAGAGCAGAGGCTCATGTTAGATGCATGGCTACCCCACCACCTGGAGTGCAGATGTCAGTGGGAGCTTTGTCTTCATGTGTGGTGAAAATGTAAAGGCTCTGTAGAGAAAGACTTACAAGCATGTATGTTTTCTTGTTTATCCAAAAAATAAATAAATTTGCTTCCATTGGTAGTAATTAATCAGCTTTACTGGTAAATTAAAGGTATATAGCAGTGGCATTCTGCAGTGCTGCGAGCATGCTCTCACAGGGAGCAGGAGCAGTAAAGCAGCAGTAACCCAGCAGTGCATCAGGATTTTCACGTCCTACATGGCAGCAGGGCTAATTCATCTGAGCAGAGTACTCTGCTCCACTGATTAATTGTCCCAATGTTCAGATTTCAGTGTGCATCTTTCTTACATGCAAAGTTACTTCATACTTCTATGGTGGTTCCTCAAGGCTCTTCTGCAGCTGTGGTCATGCAGTTTCTGTTTCTATATGGACATATTTTATATTACTGTACCTCAAGAAAAACAAAAATGGCAGGCATCAGTCTTACTGTGTTGAGTAAATTGACTATATCTCAACATACATACTGTTGCTAAACATGTTAAAAGATTAAATTATACTGCAAAATTGCTGTATAAATATTTGTTGTACTGGTGCTCCAGCTGTGTATATGAATTGTTAAATTAATCAATACTGAAATAAAATATTTCAGGGATAATTATCTTTGCTAATTGTGTTTATTTGAAGAAATCCAGGAAAATGCTGTAAGAACTGAAACAGTTCCCTGTCAATTTTATACTGCTGCTGTGTGTAGTGCTGTACAGGAGACTTTTATACAGGATAGAAAAAATGGTTCCATTTGTGTTTGAAAGGAATATTGACTTGCTTTGTGGTTTTATATAATTAGTTGGTGGTGTGTATATCTCTTCACAACAAAATATCCCACAAGTCCAGGAAGAGTTTTTCAGCAGAAGTTGGTTGTTTGAGCAGGGTAGGACTGAGGAATCATGCACTGCCCTTCCAGCCATCCAATTACACAGATAGGATAAATCTCCTTTAAATTGGTGATTATGTAGTGTGAATTGTACTGTTTCCTCAAAATACAGCTCCACAAGAAATAAAGGATATGATAGCTTCTTAGACCCTCTGTGACCTATATTATCCCACCTGAATGACTGACCTTTAAATGATGATGAATTAGTTCCTAGCATTTCTATTGTTGAGGCAGGCTGCAGTAAGAAGCCAGGTAGGTGTCTCAGTGGTCATACAGCGGCCACCTCCCTATAAATTACACCATTCTCAGACCTGTTCTACGTCTCACAGTTCAGGCTAATCATTGACAGGGCTTTTACAATCACAAGCTTTTAGTGAAGCTTTGATAAGACACTCCAGCAGCTTGTGGCAAATGAAAACAGTCTGCACGGTGTGGACTCCAGCAAAAGAATGGAATTTTTTCAGCATCAGTACAAGAAATCTGATTTTTAACACTGGCACTATAATCTGGCACAATGTGTGGCCAACGACTGGAGAAGATTGTTGCTTTTTGGATGTTAATTTTCGTAAGGATGGTTACTGGGCTTGCTGGAGAGGGAAGATCTGTGTGGAAAAAGGACTCCCACTTCAGCCCCGTGAGCGAAACACAGATGTTTTTATATGACACTTTCCCCAAGGATTTTCTCTGGGGGGTAGGGACAGGAGCTTTCCAGGTGGAAGGCAGCTGGAGGAAGGACGGGAAAGGCTCCTCCATCTGGGACCGCTTCACCCGATCGGAGTTCAGGGACACCAACAGCACAAGCACCTCCAGTGACAGTTATATCTTGTTGGACAAAGATTTGTCTGCTCTGGATTTTTTGGGAGTTAC